ATGGCCAATCTGAGATGTCCCTTTGAATGCGCTCCCGCAAACTTTCTGGTTGGCAGCCCTGGAGTAAGAATTTTACCTATTCTCCTCAAATCCTCCAGATCTACTCTCAGAGAAGTGGGTACAGGGGGAATTGTCTCCAACTCATCACTGTTTTACATAGAATTTCACATTCAATGAATCTGAAAAAAAAAAATCCAGCCCTGGATTACCACAATAATTTCTCTTAGAATATTCTCAGGAGTCTTATGCTGCACTAAAACGTCAACTGTCAAAATAACGTAATTATTTTTTCAGGAAATCCCAAACATCTGCCATCAGCCTAGCAAGTCTATATAAATTAATAGTACCTACGTCCCCCACCTCCACCCAAGAAAAATAAATCTGGAGAGAAAGTAGAGCTTAGTCAAAGCAACCTCTAGAGATGGAATCGTCTTTTTCCATATTTGCTTATTTTTAACTCGACTCCTTGAACATAAACCATCATATCCAAATGCCACCTCTTTGCTAATTTAACAAACCATTAGGAGCTTTCTGTTTCTTCCCAAAATATCGCCAGAACAGCTTGCTGTGCTGGTGGATAAGCACTGAAGGAAGTCTTCGCTTTGGTTATCTGTTTCATACTCCTTATGAGTACTAGGAACCCCACATCACGAAGGAGACTAAATGAGCATTTTTATCTCTGAAGGCTTCACACAGTTAGGTTGAGGTGTACTAGTCATTCTAAAGGGGGTGGCTCAACTTTGTCCTCCAAATAGGGAGAAGAAAAAAAGGAATCCACAAGTGTTTAAGTGTGAATCCTGAAAGGCTTGTCTACTACTTAACTAAAGAGTCGCCATAAAGTACATACTTTTGAAAAAGGAAATGTTTTCAGTTAATGAAGGGATTGGAAAGGAGTTTAGCATTTTGGGCCATACATTTTGGTCATTTTGGATATTATTTTAAATTAGCCTGAGGGCATATAGGTAAAAAGAATTAAAATAGCAATATCCTATTTTATCTTCTATATACACAAACATGTCATCTTTTCCTTGATTCTTGCTAAATTGTTCTTCTAAAATGCCAAAAGATGATGTTTTCCCTTTCATTTTTTTTTAAGACCTTTGCTTGTATTTTTAGGGCTCAAAGATATAAGGCACAGATAACATTTTAACTACATCGTATTCAAGATATAAAATGTTAGACATGGGGTTTCCATTTTCAAGAAATGTCCAGGTTAGGTCTTCTGTATGACTTGCAAGTTTTATATCTGCTGGAACAACTACAGTCATGTAAAATATTTGGATTAATGGTTGAACTTGAACCTGTGCCTTTAAAAGGTCTAGAGATATGACCTTGGCTACAAGATCAGTTGTTCCTTTCAAGCTGCTCCAGCAGAAATTAATTATCTGCAGGGGGCACAGGCTAAGAGACGGGTCCCCCCCAAGTCTGTTCTTCTAAGGGTGTGAACATCCCCTCCAGCTCCTTGCAGAATTAGACTGCTTTGGAGGGCAAAAGAAATGTGTTTGTACTACTTCAATCACAGAGACCCAGAGCTTTTTATTAACCACTTTGTCTTTAGCATTTTAAAGTGGAAATACTAGCTGGCTTTGTACTATCTCAGCCATTTTTCCCTCATTTCACATTCTACCAAAGTAGTACTGGTCAGAAGATGGGGCTGTCTGTTTCTCTCTGTCCAAAATGCTCTGAAGGAGTTAGCAATGCCAACTTCCCCAGACACAAAGGCTTTGGGAACATTTGTTTAAACTTGACTTTTAAATCAACCCCAAGTGACTATTCCTTGGCAAAAGATATGTAACTTTATCACAGATAAATTTTCCTTGCTCACAATTCCTGGCCTAGAGTGGCTGTAAGGCTCCTACAGATGTGTGCTGGAAATTAAACAGGGTGCCACTGGGGTGGCCGCAATTAAATTCAGACTTGCATTCAAATCGTGCCCCATTCTGCATTTCTTCCAGAAGTTTGCTCTCTATAGACATTTCAAACGTCCCTTCACAAAAGGAGACAGGGTGGCTGGGCTTAAGGCCCCTAAAAGGGCAATGAGAAGAGAAAGGGAGGGAATGTATTTGCAGGGTGCCAAAGGAGCTGTTAGTATACAGGGAGACCTCAGACTTCCAATTTAGGGTGTTTTCTTGTGGAACTCAAAAGTTTTTCTTCCCCTACATTCACAGACTACTGTCATTATTTGGAAAAGAAAGAAATCCTAAGCTCATACTCAACATCAACCCACCAGTATGATTATAAAATGGGATAGCTCCTTGAAAGAAAAATTTTCTTCCTCTACATGTAGATATATCCCCTTCTGACTTAAAATGCATTGCAGAATTCAACTGCTCAACAGTTAGCAAATTCCGATAAAATGAAGAGCCCAGGGCTCATGTGAGCAGTTAGATGGCTTGAGGGGGAAAAAATGATCAATTTGGAGTAATGTTTTCTATATAATTACAGATAGTATGTTTAGGAAAAAAAAAAACTATGGAGAGCCAATTATAAAGATGTTATTTTTCTAAGCTTAAATGAAGTTTATAAAATTTGAAATGTATTTGTTTTTGGGCAAAATTGTTTGACTATGGAGTTCACATTTAATCTGCCATCTGACTCTGTGTGGAATCATTTTTAATCACTTTTATTTACTTGAAGAAATGTAGATTACATAAACTTAAAGTTGCTGGAAAAATTCCCAGATTTTCATGCCTATGTCGAATGCCCATTTGAAATATTCTCCTAAAAGTCTATTTTGAGATGTGACTCTGTAAGCTTTGAAAACTTTGGGAGTTATCAGAGGAGGGTGTCCTGTTCAAAGAAGATAATCATTTAGCATAAATGTCACCTAAAAGAACAGCTATGATAAAGATGCAAGGTAACAGAATTCTGAGAATTATAGCCACATAAACGATGGTCACAACCATTTTTTGTAATATACGCTGGAAAGCTACCACACACGTTTCACATGCCAGCTGAAATAGATCTGCAAAAGAAAATCCCCCATTCAGGCTGAACTGATTTCAACATTTGAGCAAATCACCACCAGCAGATCTGGCCTTGCTTAAAATTTCCACCTAGTTGTCGAGCTGAACAAAAATAAACAACTGGAAAGCTTGACAGATGAAGACTTTGCTCATGATTTTTTAAAACTGAAAGTACAACAGAAAACAAATATCACCACCAAAGTCCTCGCGAGCAAACTGCTTTTGGCATCTAGGCTGAGCAAACAACCTCCAAAGACCACCCCCTTGCTCTCCCCCAGAACTCTCCACTCTGGGTGTATTTCCTAATTTCGTGGACTGCGTTGCTGAGCTGTTTATCAAAACAATGTGCAATAAAAATGGGTCCACTCCCCTCTTCTACGAACTCTAGCAATTTCCTCCCTCCGCCTGGACAGAGGCCACTAGTAAGAGAAAGCCTCAAAAAAATAAAAAAAGGCAGAGCAGTGAAAGCAGAGAAACAATAGGCAGCCATGGCTTTGACAATGCTTTCCCTCAACCGTCTTTCTCCTGCTGTGACACTTGCATTCAAGAGCAAGAGCCCCTGCCCTCTGAGGCCATGACGATGGATCGAGGAATACAAGACAGGGGGGAAAAAAGGAAATCAGAAGAATTCTGGGCTGAGATGGCAGGGCTCTCACCTTTTCCTTTTTTTTTTTATTTTGCGAATAGTCTGGATGGAGGCGTCCCGCAGAGAAGAAATAAAAAAGGTGTCTGAATTGTTGGATGGCTCTGAAGACTTCCGCATTTGCAAACACATTTTAGAACTATTTGCTGGGGTGTACTTGCTGCCAGCCATCTCTCTTTCTCTCTCTCTCTCTCCTGTTTTATGCCCTGCTCTCTCCATCACACCTCTATTAGTATGAAGACTTTCTGCCTGTGTCAGTAAGTGAGAGTGTGCGTTCCTTACTGTTTGAATCAAGACCCCCCTACCGCCCCCATCTGCATGCACTTCTAATCTAAGGAGCCTCGAGTGGTTACTACAGCTCTCAATTAGTCAGCAATAAGTGAGACCCTCACCGCCTCTGAAGGAACAAAGGTGGAAAGACATGCAAATACCCCAGCAACTGGATCACACAACTTGCTGGCTACAAATAACGGCACCTTTCCATTTGTTTTCTGTTTAACCCTCAAATCTACGTATTATAACAGGTTATTAATGTATCCACCTGCATTATTAGGTATGGAGTGTCTACAGGCATTATATGTCTCTTTGGCATCATTGGGAATAAAATGCATTAAGCTGAGCTACAAGCAAATATCTGGTGACAAAGAAGACTTTATGACATATTTGATCCATGCTCCATTTTAACCAACTGCCTCTAGGACTTAAATTAACTAGATGATAGAGTTCTTTGTCCATTTCAGTGGCTTTTAGGAAAGAAACTAATAAAACACTGATTTTTAAAGAAAGGAGGGGGAATATTCAGCTACAGAAAAGCATATATGAAGATTAATTCTCCCCCATAATAGATGAAATTATTTTGTTTTAAATTCAAGCCTGGATGCTAACACTGGATGGGTCTGTTTAGGAGTGGGTGTGCATGTATGTGCATTTTTTTTAATTGCACATGTTTAAGTTACCGGCTTACATCGGACATATCTGTGGTAACTTGCTTTGGATGTATTCTGTGCTAACCATCTAAAACAGTACAAAGAATGCTTGTATCTCATTTTGCAGAAAACTCAAAAAAAAATCAAGCCTTTTGAAAAGCAATGATTTGCCTTACAGTCTTCAAGGACATCAAATATTGTTAACTTGAATATACAAGAAGAAAGAGGGAGGAATAAGTAACAGCTGATCTTACTTTGGAATAGAAATCATTTCAAAGGGAATGGTGTTCTTGGTATCTGGTGTTATCTGTGATGTTTTCCCCCTTCCCTGATGCACGAAAAGCTGCATTTCTCTCCTCAGCACTTGCTGTTTCCAATCGGAATTATTTTCACACAGGGCATGGTAAATATCCTGAAGGTTAACATCTTTCTCTCTCACTCTGTAAACAAGACAGAAAGTCTCACCTGAAGACATGGAGTCACAGCTACCCTGTAGCAGGGGCTGCAAAAACAGTCACCTTCTTTCCCTCTGCTCTTTATTCCTCTTCCTGGGACTGTCACTCTAAAGAGCAATTTCTGTTTCCTTTCTTCCTAGACAAAATGGCACAAATAAAAATTTTATCCCATTTGATCTGTGCGGTAACTACAGAAGCTGAGACATCTGGAGATAACGTTCAAAGAGAAAACCCCAACAAGAGAGCCCAAGTACTGCGCTGCGGGGAGACGGGAGCCTGGCAAACTTTCATAAGCAGGAGATGTCTTAGAAAACCAGGATGGAGCGGGTCCCAGTCAGGATAAAGCAGAGGTAGAGAGGGAGGCTCAGGAACCCCCCTGCCCTGCCACCCCTCCCCCGCAACAAACCCTGTCTCCTAAGAAAGAAAAAAAAAAATCCTAAGCAGGTCGAGAGGGAGAAGGGAAATGGTGCTAAATAGCTGGCGAGGTGACCCACCGTCCTGGTCGCTCCTTGGCTCTTGCCGAGGGAATAACAGCCACAGCAGTGACAACGGAGTTGCAGCGTGCCAAGCACAACCTCTGACCAGTGCTCTCTGCCTCCCAAAAAGGAAAGAAAAGCAAGCCCCAGACAGAGCACACCGGGAACGAGCAGGCGCCATCGTCAAGTCCCGGCCCCCATCAGCACCGGCTGGTCTATGAAAGCCCTGTATCAAGGGTCCCATTCAAAGGCAACGAAGAAGCAGAGACAATGGCAAATCAAACACTGGCAGGGCTTCTGGAATAATTTAATTCCTCACTTCAGAATTTAGATGGGTATAGCAAGAAACACAGACGCAAGCTTCCTCACACCAAGGCGCGAGCATATGCCTGCCTCTCTGTGGATGTATTTTTAGACATAATATCAGGGGTAAGGCAGCCATCAACAGCATTTACTTCCTGACGCTCTCCTGCAGCCTTTCTCGCCCTCGGAGACGAGCTGACGATCAGAGGAAGCAGCCCATATTTCTCGCCAAGCCACAGGTCAGTTAGGAGGACCCCAAACCGTGATCCATTGTCTCTGAGCTCAGGAAGCATTAAACACATTTTCAAGATGTGCTCCAATGCAGGTCGTGTGCTGTGGCAATTGGCCCACTTCCTATCTTTCCACAGATGACTTATCCTGCCAGCCCACAGCACAACCAGAAGAAATCACACCTTGAGAAAGACAATTCAAACACCAAAGACTAAGGGTAAAAAAAAATATTTATCAGGACGTGTATTATTAGTAATATGTACAAAACTTCTAAACTTCTCCAAATGGCAATGTTTATAAAAAGCAGGAGATGGATGCCGTTGTATGTATTTAAATGTGCTCTAAGTTTGACCCTTCCTCCTATTCACTTCAAACTTCAAATATTTAAAATAATAAACCACCACAGAAAAATAGCCCAGCTCATTAAAGTATAAATAGACAGTGACGGAGACAAACTCAGCCTTTGCAGACAAATGAAACATCATCTGGTATGTTCTCGTCCGAGTCCGGGAATTTTTCCTTCATAGGTTGGATTAAAATATTTAAATAGAATACCTAAAATTTTTCACGTTAAAGTGCACTTATTAAAGATGTATGTGGACATAGCTATACCTACGTAAAATTCTCAAGTTAATTTACATTTATTGGAGAAACTCAAGAGCTAGTATGTCAACCAACCCAAAAAAAAAATAATCATAAAAAGCAATCTCTAACCACGTACCAGTCTCTCTAAACTTTCATACACACTGAAGTGAGATGGGCGTGATGCTGACAAATGAAAATAATGTTTCACAACCACAATATTACAAATGAAATTACTTAAAATGAAGAGCAAAATGCCCACTTCCATATTTTGGAGTCGGGATTTGTTTCTGTCAGAATTGGTTCTTTTAAATGTCATATATATATGCAGTCTGTGGAAGAGGGTTACAAATGGTTGATTTTCTTTAAAGAGTAGAAACAGTTTATGACTTCGCATTGTAAATCTCACTAGGACGGAATGCTCTTAAAAGGTTTGACAAAGAAAGAAAAATGCATGTCAGAGCAAAAGGCTTCTTTCAGTCAGTTTCATGCAGCTTTCTTCCAACAGATTTGGGCCAAAACGAATGTAGAATCTTGAGTTGAATTATCCATCACATTTGCCTAGCCTTTCACTTAATGATGCTGCAATCAGATCGATAGAATGTAATAAGAAAAGAGCTCTGCATTTCTATACCTATTAATTTGTTGAGTAACTCCAGCAGGAAAACGTGACTGGAAAGGAAAACACTCAAGGAAAATGGATTCTCTTAGCATATTGAGCAATGACTCCCTGACCCAAACGTGGACACCCCACATACAACCCTTCCAACCAGGGTTATTGGGATGCAAAGAGCGGATTGTCTTGTCAGGACCTACCTTATTCTTCTTTCCCCAGTTTCTCTGTGGTCTACTTACGCCACCATAGATCTAGTCAAACTAGTGGCTTTTTGGAATTTTGGAACAAACACCCTTGAAATGCAAGTCAGGGTTACTGGCCAGGGCAGCCATTGCTCTCTGCTCCCTAGGGCAGCCCAAACTGCCAGGACTGTGGTCTTAGTTTCCCAGGGGATTCTGCAGAGAGGAATTAGGTTTAGGAAGCATGGGATGGAGAAAGAGTGGTGAGAGTGCTAACTGAATTCGGCCCCATCCCAAATCATTGCTTTGGTTTGAGGCAATGCACCCTGCAACACACATCATGTGACCCAGTGTCTGCTTTCTCCCTGTTGATCACCAGAGACAGAGGGTTGGGAAAGCAAAGCGTGAGTTCTCTGCAGGAGGGGTGAGGCAAAGAAAGTCTGAGCGCATCCTATAGACTCCTGTACAAGTCCAGAGTTTAATGCCTCTTGAGGTGAACAGTGACTTCACGAACTCTGAAGCAGAGATGGTTGCCAGGGCTGGGGTGGGGGAAATGGGAGCTGTTGGTTAAAAGGTACAAACTTCCAGTTAGACGATAAGGAAGTTCTGAGAATCTAATGCACAGCATGGTCACTACAGTTAACAATCCTGTATTGTACACTTGAAATTTGCTAAGAGAGCAGATCTAAGTATTCTTACCACAGACACACCAAAAAATGGTACCTATGTGAGGTGATGGAGGTGTTAACCAGCTTGGTTGTGGTAACCATGTCACAACGTATACATATGTCAAACCATCATTTTGTATGCCTTAAATGCATACAATTTTTGTTAATAATATCTCAATAAAGTTGAGGGGGAAACCCAGTGACATCAGTCACAAGAATTCGACACTCCTAATAATGAGGTTTACAATGGAGTTCAATCAACCACTGTTAGAGTAGAAAGTGCAGAGATTTTTGTTGCTAGACAAACCAGAATTTGAATCTTATTTGCATCATATATTAGTTAGCATCTCTGAACCTTAGATTTGTCTTAGTCAAATGGAGCCCTTACCTCAAGGGCATCTACAAGGCTGAATGAGATAATGCATGTTAGGTCCATGGCACATACTAGCTAACCCTTTCTCCTCCCAATCCTCGGGTTCCCGTGTAGAAAATAGCAGTAAGAATGCAGGCTTACTGTACAGGTTAAATGAGATAACGCATATAGGACACACTACAAGCTGTTGAGCACTACATAACAGAAGAGTATTATCATCATAAAATAACAATAAAACTTTTTAAAACTGAACACATTATTTGGTGTAAGACATAAAGGATGAGTACGAGAGCCCAGCCCCTCACTGTGCGTATGATTATGTATTTCAAGCCCCAGGGGAAATGCAGGCAGTCATGCCCACTGGAAGCAGCGTATCAAGTGAATTGGTCACCACCAAGCAGTCTTGCCGAGGATCCTCTTTGAGCTGCAGATATCCCCTGAGGGTGGACAATATGGACTGAAAATTCCAGATGAAACTTCAAGAAGAAATCTAGCCATGTGTCAGAGAAGCCTTGGCTAAGGGGTAAGAACACCACTACTCAGTGTCTCATGTGTTTGTAATAAAAGGAGGAAGGATCTAATTATTCACTTAATAAATATTTGTCAGTAAAATATTCACAAAGACCACTGTAGGTGGGAGGTGTAGGGAAAAAGATTTTCCCTCAAAGAGCAAAGTGTCTAGAAAAGAAAAGTTTTAACTCACATAATGGAAATAATTGCAATGAGATAAATACTATACTATAGGTCTCGGAATATGTTTTTGTGGTAATTGGTGTTTGACACCTGCAATATCCGACGAATTTTTAAAAGATCCTTTTTATTACTTTGTCACGACGATTACTAACTAATGAAATGGTACAATGAGCTTAAAATAATTGCTACAAAATATCCAGCTTTATGAAGACATCAAGTTCATTATGTGCATGGTTTGGAAGGAAAACATTGGGAGGCTTAGAGAAATTAAAAACTAATTCAATAGCTACGGTTAACTGAAGAGGATGTCTGCTGCTTTTTAGGGAAAAGAAAATCATAATTAACAGCTACCACTTACAAGGCACTTACACCGCGGCAGGCAATGTGCTAAGAGTTTTATGTCTAATAACCCACTGAATCCTCACAACATCCTATAAGGTACATAATATTGTTAAAATCACTGTTTCACAGATGAGGAAACTAAAACACAGAGAGGGCAAGTGAGCTACCCCAGATCACAGAGCTGGCGCATGGCAGAAGCAAATGTCACATGTGGGCGATTTAATGCCTGATCCATGCTCTTGACCTCTGCACTCAGTCACCTCCCATCTCTTTTTCCCCCTTACATACTCATCAATTCTAATTTTCAGTACAAAGTGGGACTAAATGGCCAACAAGCTAAGGGTGAACCCTGAGAGAAGAAGAGAAAGAATCCACATAGTCAAGTATGACTTAGAGCCAGGAACAAAACTAACAGTGCGAAGATGCTCCAAAGCCTGCCTCCTATTGTCTAGTGTAGTTTCCAAGTCCATTCATTCAGCGAATACTGCTGAGCATGACTACCAAGACAGGGCAGGCCCCTACCCCATCACACCTTACAGGCTAGTGTAAGAGACTGCCATGAACACCGTTACAATACAAGGGGATATGTGTTTTGTTAGAAAAACTAGAATTGAAAAATTAAAATATTTGCTTTCCATCTGGGATAGCTTTTAGGTGAGCAGGTTCATGAGCTCAGAAATGTCTTGATCCAGAAATTTCTCAGAGAGGAACAGATCTCAGTAATATTTTCATCTGGTTTAATGCTAACCACGATCACTCCCTTGAATTTCTGTCTTTATTTTCTCTGACCCTGTCTGGTATGTGCGACTCACCAGGTTTCTTCCCGACTCACTGTCCTGGAGATGCATGATCCCTCTTCTCAAATTACCTCCTCTAGCCCAGATTCTAGACAGAAAGGAGGGAAGATACCTTCCTTTTTGCCTCTTTGCTCTGATGTTTAGCAGACACTCAAAAAAAAAAAAAAGATTCAAGTAATGCACATACACTTCTTTTAATAATGTTCATTACTTCTCCTGATTATAGTCATAACACGTTTTCTACTGAAATTTTAGAAAAAATAACAAAAATCTAAAAATTGAAATTGAATTTATCCATAATAATAACAATGTAAGATAACACTTTCAGTTTTTTAATAGATGTCCCTCTAATTTTTTTATACCTGTGGGTGTCTATGAATTAATATATT